ACATCTGATAGGTTTGATGGATTTTGAAAACAAGAGGGGTAAGATAGGAAATGAGCAAATAATTTGCTCAGTAACATTGAAGTGAATTGGTACAAATGGGTCCGAAATAAATGTATAATCCATGTGTCACATGTCACTTTTAATGTTATATTTTGTCTTTTGATGATTCATCATTGATCACCTACCCACTACCCGCTCCTCATAATAAATATTGACGGGTGGAGGACAGGAGGAGGGGCCTCACATTCACATAGCATTTATTTTTTAAATTGAAATTTTGCTTCTTTTCTTTTAGATTTTCGATTGTTTTATATAAACGCAACATCTATAACTAAATTCAGTATAAAATGAATTCAATGAACGTAACCAATCGATAATGGAAGAGATAAATGGGACCATTGTTTTTCCAAATGTTTATAGTATAATGATTGTTGTTAGAACGAAATGGATAATGATAACAAAACAAATAAATAAGACATTTACACCTATTTGTTTTGATAATATTTCATTGAATCACACTAGCGCACTACATCAAAGATAAAGATTCTACACATTTCCCTCTCCACAATATATATAAGATTTTTTTTTTTAAAAATATACTCCGTGCTAATATGCAAAAAAGATATGTCAAAACAACTAATTGTTATAATAGTATATATGCCCACTCCTCCCTTAGAAAGTATAGATAAAAAAAAATTGATGTTTTCTTTGTAACTTTTTCCCCACAAAAAATATAGAATGTATATACAATAATATAAATAAACATTCCCATGTTCTTTTTATTTAAGCATTTAAAGGCTTAAAATAAAGATTTTTATGATGAACATTATCACAATAATAATTCCAATACCTGGTGTCCATGACTTGTGCATGTATTGTGTCCCTTGACGATGATGATTGTGATAGTATTGACAATGATGATGTATTTAATATATAATCGATCAAAAGATATCGTAAAAAAAGATTGTACATAGAAAGTATTTTTTAGGCAATAACATTTTAACTTTTTCTTTATTACTACATTTTACTTTATTACTATTTTCTCTTATACAATAAATTCGATCTTTTATCAAGTTATGCATACCTAAATCAGCAAAATTTTAATGACCATGAGTCCATGAGATTAACATATATCTTGTAAGATTGGTAACCAAAATTAGATTAATTAGAAATTAAAGTGGTGATGAAAAACTATATATTAATTTTGAAAGTAGTGGTAAATGAATGATATAATATTATAATTGTTGCTAGAAAGTAAATTCTCAAAAATAAAAATAAAGCTTTTAATGCGTTTGGTAAAAGTCATATGTATCTTTTTTTTTTCTGAAACAGCGGAAATATATTAAACCACTGCCAAAAAAAGCAAAGGCAGGAAAAGCAAAAAAAAAAAAAAAAGAAATTAGTGAATAGTGAGTAGGTGAAAAAAAAAAAAAAAAAAAAAAAAAAAAAAAAGTGAGCAGGTGATAAAATTCGTACGTGTTGCTAAAAAGTAAACAATAAAAGTAAACTTTAAGCGTACATTATGATGGACATGGATGCTTGTTATTAATGCACAAAACCACCACTACTTTCAAAACACGTATCATGGAATTTAAATAGAAACTAGCTTCATTTAAATCATATTTTATTATTGACCGATTAAATGACTTGCACATAATTGAAAAGAGAAATTAAACTCCTATATTGAAAATCTTTCAAATGCGTTAAACTTAAAGTCACGTCAAAAAAGAATTGTCTTGTTATTTAAGCTATATTTGAAATACTAGTATTATTTTGGTTGTTGGTTTATAAGTTAACGATAAAAATAACATTCGAAATAAATAATATCTGATAAACTAGCTGATATGTAAAAGGACATAAAAAAATATGTTTTTATAGTTAATTAAAGTATATTTAAAATTTTAGTTTTTTATTTGAAAAATTATTCTAAATAGGTTTCTAAAAATCAGGCTTAGTTATTTTTTGAGTTGCTAAAAAAAAAAAAAGTCGATAAATAAACCAGCACCCCAAATAAAACAGCCTTAACAAGATAACGTTTGTAATCATATTAAATGCATCAATTATTTATAAAATAAAAAACGTAGTAATATTTTATTAACTCATCACCCAACCCCCGGCCTATCATTCTGTCAAATTTTCTCAATACACATCTTAGATGATTCGGGGGGAAAAAAACTTTGTTTTCAAGACAATTTTGAATCCTTCTTTAATTGTTTAAGAGTGCTTGTTTAAAAAAATAAAGGAAGCTTGATTAAGAGAGAGAGTTGTACCTTGTGCTTGCTCGGGTGTAAAATCCTGCGTTGATGGAAGTACCACCACCCAAAACCCTAGCTCTTGCATTGAAGACTCCATCATTTGACACAAAGTATTGTGAAGCAGAAGAATCAGAAGTATCGGCAAGGGTAAGATGGAAATTTGACAAAAATGAGACATTCCTATTCGCAAAAGGGACACCACCCCTTTCAAGTAAGAGCACCCGATAGTTTTGAGACAATGTGGCTGCTAATGGACACCCTGCAGAGCCACCTCCGACAACAATGTAGTCATACTCCTCCTTTTTTCCTCCGCCGTTGGATGGGATTGACTTTGCCGATGACGACGGTGGTGATGGTGATGAGAATGAACTCGATGGGCGGATGAAAGGGTACTTGGTTTGCCAGGGTATCTTATCACCTGGATTTGATCAGAAAGTAAGATTACTATTTTGCCCTTGACTATATATGTATATTTTTCGGATATGCCACCTTTTGTTACAAAAAGTTACATTTTTGGACAAACATATATCCGAAATAATATGACATAAAAATGTGCGAAAAGATTAAGAAATTGTGATTTGTTACAGTGGTGGTGTACGAAAAAAGATTGCATTTTTTGACAAACCCATAGATAAAATGTTAGTTTTTTTGTTCCAAAAGCTTGAATCTTTAAAAAACAAATCAAGAAATGCAATGAATTTGTTTTATTTATCTTTAACTATTCAAAGATCGAACAGTTGAAACTATCATATCAACAGTATTACGGGAATGTAGTACAATATTGGGTTTCTACCATTTTAATTAACGTTAATGCTAAAAAGAGAAGAAGATAAGAGTTAATTAAAACGAGCTAAAACCGAGAACTGCAAGTACTAAAAAGTAAGTTAATATCTATATATATATATATGGATCTAAATAATGTTTTATATAAATATGTGCGTGTATGTTTTAAAATAAAACCCTAAATTTTTCCAACTTAACAGCAATTAATATCCAAAGAAATTAATCTTTTTCCCCGATCAAGGCTCGACCTTTTGTTCCAAAAAGTTGAAGCCTTCACTACATAAACCGAGAAATAGAATGAGCCCATAATAAGAAAACACACATACACTACTAGAAAATTGAAGTACAAATGCGACACCATCCGTCACTAATACCCTTTAAATTTAGAGATGTAAACAAAAGCTTGAAACTTTCCTCTAGAAACCCAGAAACTAAATGACCTAAAAACAAGGCATATTTAAAGGATATGAATGAAGATAGTATATACATAACATATATATATATATATATATATATATATATATATATATATATATATATATAGAGAGAGAGAGAGAGAGAGAGAGGAAAACAAGAACCTTGAGAGAGGGTGAGTAGAGTGGCAAGAAACAGAAAGAGAGAGAGCTTGTTGTAGTTGATGATGAATGCCATTGGAGAAGGAGACACTGCACCACCTCCAAATCTGAATTTGAGTTGTGTGGCAAACTGTGGTTGGTGTTGTTGTGTGTGCAAAGTGCAAACACACCCTGCCTCTTACATTCAAATCATCACTCACTCATACCCTTATATAATACCCCCACTCTATGCATATACAACTGTAAAATATATGATTAATATTAAAAAGGAGTCACTTATGGTTGAGCTACAAGAATTATATTCTGTAGAGTTGTATCAAGAGAGGAATTATGGCATCAATAATGTGAAGAAGGAGATAAAGAGAGAAGAGAGCAATAAATGAGGGAGAAACTGAACCACTGGTAGAGAGGAGAACATTTAATGACCGCTCCATCTTCCTCCTACTACACACATATTATGAAATATGAATCAATGTTTACAGATGAGTTCGGTATGGATGCAATCATGGCCGTTGGATTTAAGGCAAGCTTACAAAGGTTATAATAATAAGTCAAATTTTTTATTGAGTCATTGAAGTTCGAGATACTACTACGACGTTGAAACATATAAGCGGTTCAACTTTGAGTTTATGAAAGCTATCTACTCGAATTATTAATTATTGGCTAACTTTTGACCTCTAGTTTTGAATTCAAGTTTAAATTTGATTCTTTTTGTTTTGGAGGAAATGTGAGGTTTCATATGTGTATCACTTTGGGATTTCGTGTCGAGTCTAAGAAACACTCTAACGACCAACTAATAGCGATCAACAATTAACCGGAAATAGTGAGAATAGAAAGAACGCTATTTTTTGGGTTGAGTGGTTGTAGTTTGCAAACAAGTATCCGAAACAAATGAGTCGTGATTCTATTAAGGGTCTTTTTTTTTTTTTTTTTTACTTGGTACAAGGGTAGAAATAGAAGGAATGTTATTTTTTGGATTGAGTGGCTGCAATTTGCAAAACCCTCTCGATGCCAATTTAGTATAATTATCACTCGTTTCCTCTAATGTCTTGCCGAGGCATTTGTCTTAATAAAATCCAATTGTTCAAAAAAACCTAACTTAATTTTATGTTCATAGTTGGCGGTATCGTGGTGATATAGCACAGGGTCACGGCATACACACCGCCCCCATGGTAGAAGTAAGGCGTAGAGGGGTGCGGGCGCTTGGCCTCAACCATAGGAGATCACAAATAAATGGTCCAAAAATTAGACCAATCCATTTCTTAAAAAAAAATAAGGGGATGTTTGGATAGGGAAAAAATAGGTTGCTTATTGATTATTGTTTAATCCAATTGCAATAAGCAAATTTAAATGTTTGAATAGAAGTATTGAAAAATCAGCTTATTGTGGTAGAAATAAACAAAATAAACCGATTTATTATTCATGTACTCAATGAGATTTACTTTAAGGAATGGAATGAGGGCATTATGTTAGTTCTGAATTGCATATTAACCTTGCATCTTGGATAGAGCTACATTCTTTGAGTATGTTGAGTTTAGGGGAGAGATAAGGTTAAAACACTATCCTTAAGAAGAAATCAATCTTGATCCCTATTATTGCTTTCGATAGTATGCAAATTATGAATCAATGATCGACAATGTTATTCAATATCTTATTCAAAATACACAAACTCAACAACCTCAACTATTGATATCGTATGTGTGGTACCACATTTTTCATCAACTTATTATCTCTTTTGGTTTTGAGGTAAATACAATAGATGATTTTGTACATCACAGATTAAATGCGAGTAAATTTATCTTTCTGGTTTTGAGTAGATATCTACGCAATTCAAGTTTGGATCATAAGAAAGCAACCAAATGGATTTTAAGATATTTATATACTATAGGAAATTCAGATGTTTTGGAGATCATTTTTATTAAGAATATGATTTTATTAGATGCCAAAATGGTTACTGGCCCATATCAGGATACTTTTACATTTTAGCATGATGAACCATTTCATGGAATAGACTTTGGTAGCATCTTCCATAATGGTAACATAATTTATAGCATGGAATATGTTTGCGTAAACGTCACAAGGCTACACATTATTGGTATTGAAAAACCACTAAAGTTGTGATAATAAATCAAAAATGTTATATTCCAATAACAGAAGTCCAACTAAGTCAAAGCATATTGACATCAAGTTTCCTTATGTTATACAATTGTATAAAATGGAAATATATATATATATATATATATATATATATATATATATATATATATATATATATATAATAGCACATACATATGAACAAACGCCATAAAAGCAGATCCCCTCATAAAGGGATTACATCCCTAGGTCTTTCATGAGCATACTACACACGTTGGTGTGATATTTGATTTTAGTGGGAGTTTTATGGTGCTTTATTATGTTTTCTGTACAGAATTAAGAATTCGGTTAACTCCATTATTAGTTGCACTTATTTGAAGTTTTACTTACTTCAAATTAAATAGGAACTCGTTGGAAATCTATTTAGATTTTAAAACCACACATCATATTTAATCTATATCGTTATTTATATATGTATATGTGACCATTGATAGGTTTTAGTTACATAAATTATAACGAAGACCACTTTGATCCTATACTATTATGATTAGTGGACGAGATTGTTTAACGGTACAAACATTATGACAACATTCATTAAAGCGCTTATACACTTATATATATATATATATATATATATATATATATATATATAATGCTATCATTAAATCAAGTTATTATGGTAAGAATATAAATTGTTAATAGACTGATTTATATATTTACTAACCTTGTAAGTTGAGTTCCCGATTTGACTTAAGATCCTCAATATCATTTTCATCTCTCACATTAAGGTTTATATTCATATATAAATACATATGATGAGGAGCAAATTAAGACACATGAAAATACACGTGTAAATTCGTTTAGGGTTTATTGAGGGATTTTAGAGAGAGCTCTTGAGATCAACTGAAAAACTCAACCCTAATTCTTCAGATCCGAAGATCATAATCAAATCAGGTATGTAATTGTTCTTTAATTTTTAAGCTTTCTTTTAATCAGATTTGAGATTAAAGATCCAAAGTTTATGCTTTCGTGTTTATGTTTTGGTTATCAAAATCATTCAACAATAGCGACAAAGAGGAGCGTTGAAACTTTTTTGAAAATTTTATTTTAAATGCATATACATATATTCATTTCTTAAAATAAAATTTAAGAAAAAAAAAAAAGAACTTGTTTTAAGAATGTTTTAGACATAGTTGCATGTTTGTTTAAATATTCATATCTTAAAAAATAATAATAAATAAATAAAACTTGTTTTAAGAATGTTTTAGACATAGTTGCATGTTGGTTTGATGTTATACGTTAAATTTTTTAACCAGTATACAAATTATCAAGTGATAGATAGTTTTTTTTAGAAAATAGAAGATAATGGGTTCCTTATTAATATGATTAAAAGTTATGGTTTCTTTCTCAAAAATATATTTTATAATTTTAATTTTAATTTATTTAATCTTATATTATAATCTTAAGGTTAAATATTCTTGTTATAATCTTATTGTATTTTTCAATCTATCAAGATAATTTTGTTATGTTATAATTTTTTTGTCCGGGATAATCTAGATCAAGACATAGAATATTATTATGTTAGTATAATATTATTATGTTAGTATAATATTATTGTTTTCTCTTTTGTCAAACAAAATATTATATAGGAATTAGTATTATTATATTTTGTTTGACATATGATATTAATTTATTGTATTATTTCAATTCAAAGAAATGTATTATTGATAAACTATATTATCTTGTTATAATTCAAATTAAAGTAATAAAAATAATAATATAATACTAATAATAAACAATTATTTTTAGAAGAAAAAAATATCAAAGACAACACATATTTTATATATATATATATATATATATATATATATATATATATATATATATATATATATATATATATATATATATATATATTCAGTCATACAAAATACTATAGTAAAATAATAATTAATACAAAACTATAATTATAAAAAGGTAATATTTAAAAAAAACTCTAAAATTTGATCATGTTTTACTTGTATACGTTGTTCACTTGTCTACCGCTAAAAGTTCAAAACTTCAAATGTGTAAGCAAATAAAGTTTCTTTACCCTTTTGTGACAACCTAAAATTTCTATCTTGTACAACCATTTAATTCAGTCAAGGTCAGACTTGTTTATGCTAACTTTTAGCACTATTTAGAGTCTGTTTAAGCATTCTAAGCCTAGTACATCAAAGGATTAAGTGTTAGGATATGTCAACTAAAGTTCAAAACCAAAAATCAAACCATAAACCCCTTAATAAGGAATTTACGGCCAAGGCACATGAGTTTACGGCCGTAAAATCATGGTTGGCCGTAAACTCTTGGATATATATATATGTTTCTTGGCCATTTGTCAACCATTTTACCACTTCCAAGCCAAGAACTCGGTTTTGCTCTCAACTATCATCAAGGATTCTTCACTTTTCTTCAAAAATGTAAGTGATTCCTTCCATCTATGTGTTAATACATCCCTTATTCTTGAATCACCTTTAAATTCATCCATGAATTCCATCTTTTGGGTATAGATCTTCAAGATCCTCAAGAACATCAAGAACACATTAGTTCTTTGGGTCGATAACTACTCTTTCAAGCTTCTACTGTAAGTATCCTCTATTTTACTTACTATCTTCTAAAGACCCTTGAATTACTCCTTGAAATCAAGCATTTCCCAAGAACATGAGGTGTTTACGGCCAAGAGCATCTCCCTTGGCTGTAAACCCTAATTAGTGGTGCATATGGACCATAACTTCTTCCTAAGGCTTAGACATTAACCTAGAAACTTTCCTCAATGCTTAAAAGCCCTTTAAAACACCCATATACACAAAATAGCATGAGTTTACGGTCGTAAACTCTAGTGACCGTAAACTCATTGGCCGAAATCTCATAGGGTCGTAAACTCATGTCCGTGAACTCCCTTGGTCATGCCATTTGGGTCGTAGACTCCTTAGTGTGGCCATACACCCTTAGTATGCAATCATATGTGATGCATACCTTTCAATCTAAGTGTTTTCTAAAACCTACGGTGTATTTCCTTGCATAATTAGTTGTTTAAACACTAATTTTATACATATATGTATCATTATATGATAAATAGGATCCGTGTGTGCTCAAGTCTTCACTTGGCACTTAGCATCCTATACCACTCGTTCATCCAAACCACTCACTACAGGTGAGTTCATACCCTTTAATCTACCTTTTAAACGATTTTAATGCTTTTATGGGGGGGGAGTTATTATATCAATAATAACTATCAAACAAATGGAATTGCTATACTTTTAACTGTTTTATCAAACAAACTACTTCAACATGTTTATCAAACTCTTTATCAAACTTGTTTTTATATGCCAAACCTTCTCTGAAATCTCTTTTAAACTTATATATTGTTAAAACCATGTCTAATGTATATATAGTTATATAAGTAAGGTTGGAAGGACTTAGGACTGATGACTCACTTTATTTCCTATTCCTTGTTTGGTTGTGGACTTAGAGTACCATGTTGTTTGTCCGAGTATCGTTTGATCCTTAGTTATATATTATGTATATATGTATAGACATAAAATCTTTTATCTCAGTTCAATCCCTTTGGGTAGAAAAGGTGTACAAACATGTTCATTTATACAAACAACTCTACAAGTAAACTATAATAGGTATAGTTTAGAAAGTCACTACTCATTATTTCTAGTACAATGAAACATAGAAGAGTCAGTTCATTCATGAGTCAATACAAACTTACTATGATGAGAAACTAAGAGAATATACTATTATGAGAAACATAACGAATATACTATAATGAGAAACTAAGAGAACATACAATATACTACACTATACAAGAGAATATACTATGATGAGTAACAAAGAGAATATACTACATACTAGATAGAGAGAACATACACTACACTAGTACATACAATACATATACAAGAATATTATAACATAAATGTGAGTCACTACTTCGGGGCATGACATCACTGCTATGGCTCGTTTTGTAACCAGAGTCTCTTGGAGGGAGAGCGTGAAATTGTGTTTAGATCTATACGGGACTGGCCGTCCTACACCTTGCTGCTAGTTACAGTGGGACCTGCAGGTCTACGGGTGACGAATGTCATACCATTTCGACGTCTTCAAGCGTCGTGTTTTACTAAGTCGATCAAGTATGGTTACAATTATATCATATTATACCTTAATTAACAACCGGTTTAAGGTAGTTAGTACAGCAGTAGTCACTATAATACAACACTACAATACTTTATGATTTCCCATTGCATTCACATTGTGATCTTCTCACATAAACGGTAATGTAAAAACTATATTTTGTTAATGATAGTCACACTTAGGAAAAATACACACTTTTACAAGAAACAAACACTCAAAACATTTGATGCCTTGGTAGAAGGCTACTTTTAGTAGAAAGTATTGGATTTTCTAGGAGATACAAACATTTACTACAAACTTATACATCAAACACTTACAAACATTTTCATACAAACAATGACACTAAAATGCTTATGAACTCACCAGCTTTAAAGTTGATAAACTCTTTCAAAATAACTTGTATTCTCATGTCATCAGTAGACAGGTACCGATGTCAAGCTTTGAGAAGACGGGGCTTTCAAGACTCGTCTCTTATTTTGATTCATATTTTTGGTGTCTTATAAACTATACATAACACACTTGTATTAATTTATATTATTAATGCAATGGATGATGTTGTTGCTTGTTTACTATTATGCTTTGTTGTAATATTGTACATGATGTCATCCGCCCCAGAACGTTTCCGTCGTTCAAGTTTTGGAGCGTGACACCTTTCTTGTTTAAGAAATCAAGTTGTGACTTGATAATTAACTAACCAAAATATAGTGAATTTTACAAAGATTTCCAATTATCTAATTATGTTTGTTTGAACATTGAAATTGTTAACTTTTATGTGATTTTGTAAAGATTTTATAAACTTTTTATGTTAATTAACTATATCTTTATCATCTAAATGTTTTTCTTGTTACTTGTTTAATTATACAAATGAGTCTTCATATATATATATATATATATATATATATATATATATATATATATATATATATATATATATATATATATATATATAGAGAGAGAGAGAGAGAGAGAGTCAAGATCAAATAAGAATGAAAATTTTGGTAGGAAGGTAAGAAGCTTTTTTCTACACGTTTTTTTAGCGAACAAACAAAATGAATCATTAAATGATTCAAATGTTAGATGATTAACAAGAAAAATTTTCCAAAAAAACATCTTCATGATTCATTTTTAAGTAAAGGACAAATTACACGAATGGTCCCTATGGTTTGGTGTTTGTTACGCGCCTAGTCCCTAACTCCATTTTTTAACCATGCCAATCCCTAATAGTTTGGTTTAGTGCATGCCTGGTCCCTCATCTAACCTTCCGTTTGATTTTGGAGTTAAAACCCCCACGTGCCTTGCACGTTGAGGGGTATTTCCGTCATTTTACTTATTCTTCATACCGCCAGTTTAAGAAATCGGTACGTTCAATTAAACGATCATACTCTACATTACACAATCGTATACCCAAAAAAACACACAACTATGTGCAAAATCCTTACGTGAAAACCCTAGTAGCGACGACTGCAAGAACAAAGAATTGCAATGGTTTCTTGGCGCATTCGTGGTGAAATGGCTGAAATCGACGTTGATCAAAGTTATGGTATGTTTGATTGACTTTCGTTTGAATGATATTGACTGTTAAAGGTTTAATTTTGTTAGCTAAAAACGATTTTCTCCTCTACAGCTGGACATCCGACAATGTTTTCAATAAGAATGCACCATGGAGGTGAGTTTACAAGCTTTCCTGGAAGGAAGTATATTCGTGGGAAGCAAACATTTGTTGATTTACTGGACATTGATACCTTTTCCGTTCATGACATTGATGAGATGATGGAATACCTAGGGTATGCTTCAATAGGTAAACCACTTTACTATCACTTTCAAAGGCCTTTAGGCGATTTAGATTTTGGGTTATTCGCTTTAGCTAGTGATGAAGATGTTCGTTATTTGGGGAGTTTTGTGGCTAAGCATAAGTTAATTGAGGTATATATAAAGCATGACAAAACTACTCTGCACACCTATTTAATGTCCCCAACCCACAGTAAAGTTCGTATAACGGAGATTACTGAACCTCCATCTTGTTCAAAGAGATTGTTCCTGGAGTGGCATAGCACACCTGCTGTTGATTTGGAGGATGACATGGATCACATGGAGAAAGAATCGGGTAATGATCCTACACCCACTGGTCATCTGGAGAAGGATTTGGGTAATGATGCTACTCTCACTGATCATATGGAGAATGATTTGGGTAATGATGCTACTCTCACTGATCATATGGAGAATGACTTGGTTAATGATGCTAATGACTTTGGTAAGTTTGGTGAGTTAGAGAGTGACAATGATGAAAGTGATGATAGTGATTTTTTTGTGGACATTGAAAATATATTGGATGATATTAATGTGGATATGCAAGATTTTGAAATGAATATTGACAAAGATGTGGAATGGGTTGGAGGGTCGTCTAACACTGTGGTTGATGAAGGCACACAGGATGAAGCTTTGGAGGTGATTAACACTGACTTTTTAGCATCTGATTCATCATCAGATGAGGGGATTAATGGTCAAAGAAAGAAATCAATAAGAGCAATTCAAAGGGCACATGAGAATGATGAAGCACTTGTTAGTGAACCCTTCTATATTTTTCAAAAATTTGGTTCAGCAAAGGAGTTTAAGGATAAGGTAAAACTCCATGCCATAGAGACTAGAAGGGAGCTGGCCCTTGAAAAAAATGACAAGAATAGAGTGAGATGGGTTTGTAAGGGAACAATACCAAAGCTTGGGCCTAATGTAGAAGTCAACGATGAAGAAGAAATATGTCCTTGGGTCTTATTAGCTAGTAAATGGAAAAAAGATGTCAACTGGACAGTTAAAACGTACAACAAAGTCCATAAATGTCTTCAAACTAGAACAGTAAAAGGATGTACGTATAAATTCCTCTCTTCTAAAATTGTTGAACATGTTGAAAGTAACCCTACTATTCCAATTAGGGCTTTGCAAGAACAGCTACAACGGAGGTTTAAGGTAGATCTTTCTAGGATGAAAACATTTAGGGAAAAATCTGAGGCTCTAAACCTTGTGCAAGGAGATTTCGTTACTCAGTATAGTTTACTCAGAGATTACATTGTTGAGTTGCAAACTCGTAACCCAGATACGACTGTTAGGGTTGATGTTGAAAGCGAAGGAAATCCACACAATGAAACGAGGACATTCAGATGCATTTACATATGCTTGGGAGCTTTAAAGAAAGGCTTCGCAGCTGGAAAGAGGGATTTTCTTGGCTTTGATGGTGCTTTCATGAAGGGTCCATTTCCAGGACAAATTCTTTCAGCCGTGGTAAGTTTTAGTTATGGTTCTTTTACTTATTGTTATACATAAAAATAAGTAAAAATCTATTCATGATTGTTATTTATCATAAAATGCAGGGACTAGATGGTAATAATGGCACATATCCATTGGCATATGCGGTGGTTGAAACAGAGAACATCAGTTCATGGACTTGGTTTTTGAGTTGTCTTGGGGAGGATCTTGGCTTGAATACTAATTCTAATTTCACTTTTATAACAGACAGACAAAAGGTACTAAAATCATAGATTTTTTTTACTTTATTTCTAAATTGTTTACTAACAAAATCTATGTATGATTGTTAGGGTATTCTAAATGCAATTGCAACCTTGTTTCCTTGTGCTGAAAATCGTTACTGTGTTCGTCACATTCGGGATAACATGAGGAAGCAATGGAGGGGTAAACCTTTCGAAGACCTCTTATGGACATGTGCAACTGCAACACATGTACAACGGTTTAACAAAGGCATGGAAGAACTAAAGAAATTAAACAAGGATTGTTATGAGTGGCTTAAGAAGATACCACCTCAGCACTGGTCTAGGTCCCATTTCACTGGTATAACATTTAACTCTAATAACATTCTTTATGTTTTCCTGGTTTGTGTAGTTTTTTTGAATTGACTTTAAGTGATGTGATTGGACAGGGAGAGCACATTCTGATGTGATTCTTAATAACTTGTGTGAAACATTCAATGGAAAACTGAATGAGGGTCGTGATAAACCAATTATTACTTGCCTAGAGTTCATTAGGGAATATCTAATGAAGAAGATTGTGAATGTAGAAAAGGCCATTGGGAAATGTATTGGTCCTTTGACACCTACAGCTATGCAGACTTTGGAAAATATAAAAAAAAAGGCAGAAGATTATAGATCTGTATTTTGTGGAAATGGTAAGTATCAAGTAAGTGGCCCTTGGATGGACCAATGTGCGGTGGATGTGGTTCAACAAACACGCTCCTGCAGGAAATGGGAACTCACTGGGATGCCATGCAAACATGTTGTTGCTACTATATGGGAGATGAGGAAGAATAGTAAGGATGTTGGAATACCAGAAACTTGGGTGCATGAGGTATATTGGCTAAAAACATGGAAACAGATGTACTCATTCAAAATTGAGCCCATTAATGGGAGAAGCATGTGGGAAAAGTCTGTGTGTCCAACAACTTTGGTTCCTCCTAAACATCGTGTCACAATAGGTAGACCAAAGAAGAAACGCAGAAAATCAGCTTATGAAATTGATGACATGGTGAAGGGTAATAGTGCATCAAGAATCCTTCAGTCGGTTACTTGTTCAAAGTGCAACAACATTGGTCATAATGCAAGGAGTTGTAAGGGACAAAAAGCTAGTGCTCCTAGTGGTTCTGGTGGTCCTGGTGGTTCTGGTAAGGGAAAAGGAAAAGCTGGTTGAGGGAAATTGATGACATGGTCTTGATCTATTAGTGAAAGTTTATTTTGTTGGTTAATCAGTTCTTTTGGTTAAATTGTGTCTTTTTGGTAAAACTGTGTCCTTATGGTTAATACTTTTGGGTAAATTATGTTTCTTTTGGTTAAACATTTTGTTGATGTATGAAACTATTAACCATTTTGTTGATGTATGAAACTATGTTATGGAAAGTATGGAAACTAAATTACCCTTTATTAAATCCCACTTGTGCTATTGGTTGTTTATGTCGATTGTTAGCATATGTTATTGGTTGTTTTGGTCAATTGTTAGTGTTTACTTTTCCAAATAAGTTCCAGAAACACTTGATGAAAATACATGGCTCATAGAAGTCAAAATAAGCTCCAAAAACACTTAATCAAACACTTAACCAAAATATTATCAAATTCACAAACACTTAATCAAAATACATTCCAGAAACACTTCAAAACACTTTAAATTCACATACAACAACCAACTAGATGGATCATAGAAGTCAAAATAAGTTCAAAAAAGACAAACATCATACATAGCATACTAGTTGGATCTTCTTAAGCACTACAACTTGTAAATAATGATTCCTATGAACACCCAATTTAAAATAATGATTATCTTCAGCAGCCGATTCTCAGCTTCAACTTTGTTCTTAGCCTTCAACAGCCCTGGAATTATCCTAGTACATCGTCCACATCCTTCCTCATCAACCCATCCAATAAACTTACATTTAGGTCCCTGTCAAGTTCAAATCCAACAGATTTGCGGTCATTGTCACACAAAAGCTTGAGTTAGAATCAAAACGACCTTACCTTCTTTGTGCAGCCATAAAACTTTCTTCTGGGGTTGTCGTCGGTCCATGATGTCAGTATAACACTTGGTTGCCCGCAATTACATTTCATCATTGTTGATTTTTTGTCCATTAAAGAAACGAGAGATGAAATGAAAGAACAAACGTAGAGGAAGAAAATGGGGATGCACTGATCTAGGGTTTTTAAAGGATGAATAAGTAAAATGATGGAAATACCCCTCAACGTGCAAGGCACGTGGGGGTTTTAACTCCAAAATCAAACGGAAGGTTAGATGAGGGACCAGGCGTGCACTAAACCAAACTATTAAGGATTGGCATGGTTAAAAAATGGAGTTAGGGACTAGGCGCGTTACAAACACCAAACCATAGGGACCATTCGTGTAATTTTTCCTTAAGTAAATTAAGAAAAAAAATCATTTTTTATGACAATTTTAGTGAATAACAACAAAATCATTATAAAAATGAATCATCGAGATATTTTTTGAGATTTTTTTGTGAATCATGTTATTTTTTATTCATCTAGTGATTCATTTGTTTTGTTCGTCAAAAAAAATATGTAGGTACCCAAACTCACCATAATACATCATTTTGTTTGATATATTTATTATAATGTTCTTCAACTTCAATCCTTAACTTGATTTACTTTCAAGATTTTCAAAATTTTATTATTATCTACCTCTTACATCACATCTTTTTGACGAACATCAATTAGGCTATATATATTATAGTTGAAAATGAAAATTATTTAAGAGGAAAATAAATGTGAAATTTATAAAAATCTCTGAATGATATCAAGTTAGAAGTTGAATTATAAATACATTAGACAATTACAATGTATATATATGATATAAAACGACGTAATATGATGAGTTTGAGTACCTAAGCTTATATACCCTTAAGGGTATATTCACTTTTCCTATATATATATATATATATATATATATATATATATATATATATATATATATATATATATATATATATATATATATATATATATATATTGATTGCTAGTGCCCCTGATAGAGAAAACTCATTGGATCCTCCAAATATTTATAAAACATTAAGTGTTAAATAGATCATCTAAGCCATATTCAACTTCAAATATCCAAGATATTACCTTTATAAAATTACATTAAGACGTACATATATATAATATACTTTTGTGAAACTCGGCTTATTTTAGATCGACATTTAATAAGATCGCTATTGGTTTCACCATATCAATGTCTAGACAAGTCATTTTATGCCACAAAAACGTATGTAAATCGTAAGGTATATAGCGATCCAACAATGACGCCCCACAAATGTAATTGCAAAGTTATGATTTTGTTGTGAATTCGGAATCACATAATAAATATTCACTGCAATTTTCTGATTCATATTCAATGCCTTTGGTCATATCAAAATTAAATGACACAAATTTGAGCTTTTTATTCTAAACAAGCGCTCGAAATGGAGGTTAGAGGCTCCAAACATCAAATGAAAGTATGGAGACAATGTACTTTTATCATTCACAAAAATCTTGTGTCTTCTTGTGAAAAATCTAAGTGACATGAAACATGCAAATGGCTCTTTAGTCTCGTGAGCCATCTCTACAAAGAGGGTAACACACAAATTAAATAGGATAAAGTCATAAAACCATATTTATATCTAGAGTAAGAATGTTTACAAACCAAATGTATTTGCCAAATAACAAAGAACAAATCCTTTTTTGAGTTATTAAATCTGCGAGACATGTGTTTTTATGCCCATCTTGGGTTAGTTTGTATTTTGTAACTGTACCTCCATGCCATCATAAATTGTTGGGCCTCATTAAGGTCCCATATCTATCTACCTTTGTTAGAAGAACAAGACTACTCGATGAGTTATGACTCACATATTAAAGTTTTGAATTGTAAACATATTATAATTAACCTCTCCTTAGTCCTCACATACAAACATAGCAAAGTGACGATAATGGTGGTTGATGTTTGTTTTCTTCAAAGAGAGTTGATATACGAGTTTAGGTTTTACAACAAGACTAGACATAATGTAGGTATGATCTAAAAGCAAGATATACTCATAGAGGATGTTTTGAAACATAAAATATAGACCGACCAAAACCAAGTAAGTATAATCTATGAAAAAGGCACAAAGCTTTTTAGTTTTAAATGTACATTCAATTTTCTCACCTACTCCTTTGGTATTGATCGGAAAAAAGAGAAATAAAGAAATCATGGCTTAGAAGGAAATGTAGCAAAATTTTGAAAACCGAAAAAGGGCAAGAATTAGGATCCTTAAAACACTTAGGTTGTGTTTCTTTGTGAATTTTTTTTTTTTTTTTTTGAGAATTTTTTTTGAAAAATGAGTAGAGTTTTCATTGGAAAATTTAGAAAATGTGATTGGTTAAACCTTTGAGTTTTTATTTTTGGGTTTAGAAAAATTAAAAAACTTGTTTGGTTGTGTTTTTTCTATTAGTTTTTATTATCTAGTTTTTGTGTGGATGGTTATGGGTGTGTGTGGTTGTGATGGGACATAGGGGTTTTGTGTGTGTTTATATATTTAAGAAAATTTTAGAAATTGAAAAGTATGGAAAACAATAATTATTAGTTTCTTAATTTCTTTGTAATTTTGGAAAACAAAAAATTCTTGTATTCAAAAAAATTTATCTAACCAAACGTGTTTTCAATATTTTCACTTTTCTGAAAAACTAAAGAATATTCTACAATCAAACGCAACATTAGCAATTTCATTATTTAATTTGTGATCGAACTGTTATGCATTATGTAAGGTTGAGAAAACTACCCCAATGGCCAATATTTGTTACAACAATTGTTTTGAAAAAAAAAACCCTTAGATTGTCACCTTCTTCAAAAAAAAGTTTTTTCAAACATGTCATTAACCTTCGAACATGGTTTGCGGTCCCAAGTTTAAAGCTTCAATTTGTCATTGGTGGTAATCTTTCTGCAAATCCATTAGTGACGAACATGTTTGAAAAATAAAGAAGATTGTTGGAAAAAAATAATATGAAGAACGAGTCCATGTTGTTTAGTACGTTTTTTTTGTAACACCCTAAATCTGGTATATCTTGAAACCCTCAAGAATTACATTTTAGCATAAGTAGACCCTTAAGTACGTTGGGTGTACTTAAGTGTACTCTTAGCGTACTACACTTGGTTGGTCGCGGAGGAACTAGAGGTACACTGGGCGTACCAAGCCGTACGTCGGGCGTACGTGCCAGGGGTTCAAAACCCTAATAGTCATCTTGCAAAGCTTTTGGAGGTAAAAAGCTTGGATCTTTCATCTTAAATATCTAGATTTAGCTAGGGTTTTCTACCTTGTTCCTTTTTGGTTGATTTTGGACCTCCATTATGAGTTAAGCAACTCCAGAAGATGGGAAAAACAGATCTGAGATCCCTTGGTCCTTTATTGTCATAAAAATGGGAGCTTGATGGGAGATTTAGCCTCATGCATGGGTTAAAGACCTTGGAAAGGTCTTAATGGAGAGGTTAGGTGTGTATGAGACATGCAAAGGCATAAAGTTGCCAACTTTATGCCTTAGGACATCTTTACAGACTTAGATCTGGCTTTCGGACATCAAAAAAACGAGTATTAAGCACTTAATGGAGAAAGTGCTCAAAGTGGTTGTACGATGGGCGTAACCCAGTGTACATCGCGCGTAGTCCCAATCCCAGTACGTTGCGCATACCAGGATGGTACGCCAAGCGTACGCAGTGCATATGGGTCGAATCTGTTTTGGGCCTTCGAGCTATTTAGGCCTCTTTAGATTATTGGGCATGGTGTATTCTGTGAATTATGGGCTACTTTATCTGTTATGGTCCATAGATATATTAGTTGGGCTTTATTGGGCCAAGAGGCCCATTAGTAATTGTGGACTCGGATTTTGGGCCCAATAACAGTGTTGTAAAACTCGCTGAGTTAACCGATTACTCCTCCGAGTACTCGCTACTCGGCCCCTTACCGAGCCGAGTTACATAATCCCGAGTACTCCCCGATCGGCCCTTACTAAATTGAGCAGTGTTGTAAAACTCGGTTAGCTCGGTGATTAATAATATACTTAATGATTTATTATTTAACACACACACACATGTGATTATTACTATATATATATATATATATATATATATATATATATATATATATATATATATATATATATATCTTAAATTTTTAGTAATTA